TCCCCCTCGCCCAGCCGGTCCCGGAGCCGTCCTGCTGAGCACGACATGGCTCAGCCTCTTCCCACCCTGCTGCCTTCCAAGGGGGCAAGAGCTCACCTGCAGACTGCAAGGCTGGGGCTGAGCTGAGTTAGGGGCACTCCTGTCCCACATCCTGCAGCAGCTTGTATGAGGCAGCACGTCTGACACCCGCACTAATCACAGCATCCCTAATTTCAGGTGCTCTGTAAACTTCTTCCATCCTTTGCTGCAGAGCAAGGATGCACCCACCTCCATGCCCAGTGCCTTCCAGCTCAGGTCCTGTGGATGCAGCTCATCCCTGCATACCAGCATAGATACAGTGGGGCGTGGGGCCCCGCTGGGATTTGGGAATGGGGGCTCTGAGGGACAGCCCAGCTCCAACCCCAGGCACTCCTGGTTTTGCTCCCTGTCTCTGCCCAGCGCATGTTCCACAGGCAAAGGTTTGCAGGGACCCTGAGCTCACCCTAAAGCATTTATAAGGAGTGCAGTTTTCCAACTGGTTTTCCAAACAAACAGCCTTATCCCCTCTTTGCTGGTGGAAAAAGAGCTGTTCCTGGCCAGGCTGCCAGCGCCTTCAGGCATGTTCACACAGCCCAGCTCCTCCCGCATCCCTGCGGGGCCCTGGCTCCTCTCCTGCAGATCCTGGCAAGTTCTCACACTGCCTTGGCCTCTCCCAGGAATAGGCTGCACAAGCGGAGCAGCCTGGAGCCTGGCCACACCATGGCAGTCCCCATTGCCCTTTCCCACTCCCCTCCTCTACCTGCCCTGGGTTTGAATAACCTAGGATCACCTCTATATAGAAAAAGAGATCAACTGGCAATGCTGAAGCAGGTCCCAAATGCCCATCACTGTAATGGGAGAGCCTAGACCCCTCTCCGGACACTGCTCAGGGCCAGGCTATGCCGTTGCAAGTCTTTCTCTTAGCAGGGGCCACACCATCCTGTCCCCTCGCTGCTGCCCCTATGCTCTCTATGGAGAGGGGCCACTACTGTGCTGGCAGTCCTCTGGCAGCCCCTCTTCCAGCTGGCTCTGGCAGAGACCCAGCTCTCGGGGACACCATGAGTCGGGGTACCCAGTGCCCCAACAGCAGGAACTTCCCTCCTGCCAGGGGAGGGGAGTCTGAGCTTCTCCCCCTGGGCCAAGTCGTTAGCATGAACGGGAGGTGCTGGGGAGATGCTCCAGGGGAAAGGGGCTTGCTCTGCGTTCTGCCTGTGCGCGCTGGGGCAGGCGCTGTGCCCTGAGCCCCGTACAGACCCTTACCCCCGACGGGCTCCCCGGGCTCCGGCAGGGGCATCTCCCACCACCTGAGTCCTCTCCGAATGGATGTGGGGTACCCCCAAGGGTGAGGGCTGCTATCCCAGGCCACTGCCTGCTCTCCAGGAGTCCTGCTTCAATCCGAAACTCCTTCCTGCGCCTCCAGCCACTTTCCTGGACCCCGGAACTCCTGCCCCAAATCCTCCCCAGCCAGAACCATATCCCACACCCCGGCAAATCCCTTTTTCCCCACCCGGGAACCCTTTCGCATGGATTTCTACCCCGGGGAACGGAGCGGGAGGTCGCCGCTCGCCTTACCGGAGGCGCCCATCCCCGTGGCGTCGGGCGGGCGCGGGGGCTTGGGGTGAGGGTCGGACCCCGCGCAGCCGGGGTGCCCACACTCACCTGCGGTGCGATGTGCGGAGCTTTGCGCGGTGCGGAGCTGCTGCCTTTGTGTGGCGGCCGCGTGCGGAGCCCCCGCGCAGCGCACAGCGGCCCCTGACGTCGGGCTCGGCTGGCAGCAAAAAGGTGATTTTTTAGCCCAAAACTTCCCGCAAGCTCCTCCTCTTGCACATGAGGCACAAAAGGCCGGCGGAGGGGCGGCCCCGGGGGGCTGGGCCGGCCCTGCTCAGCCGATGAGTGTGGGGCGCACGTCCCGTGTCCCCCGGCCCCGGTTCACCTTCCCCTTGTGTCTCCAGCCCGCACCCGCGGCGGGGTCCCCAGCATCACCGGGTGGCTGGAGGGGTGCAAGAGGAGCAGCAGAGCAGGGACACCCACCGGGGCGCTCCTGGGGCTGGGTGGAGTGAAGGGAACCACCCCGTGTCTCCACCAGCTCCATGGATGCCTCCCCTCCCTCCCCATCAAAGCCACAGGCATTGATGGTCCTTCTGCCCTTTTCACCCTTGTTTGCTCCAATGCCCCCTGTGAGAGCAGGTACCAGCTCAGCACCCAAAGCAGTGCATCACTTTCATGCTGGTCCAGTGCATCCACAGCCCCATCCCTGGTGCCCTGCTTGTCCCCAGCTGAGCCGTGCTGCTGCCCTTGGTCCATCCAGCAACACGGGATCAGGCTGGTTGGGGATGAAAGGACCTTGCAGATGTGATTGCTCCCTTCTCCTCTTTCCCCCCGTTTTCTTAGGTGAGGAGAAGCAGGGAGCAAGCCAACTCTCTCCTGGAGTTACCAGCCAGAAAGATGAGTGTTGTGGCAGAAGAATGGGGCTGTGGTGGGGAACAGAGCCATTTTTCCACCCCTCACACTGGAAGGAGGCTGCTGAGAGCAGGGCAGCCACAGGTGGGGTGGGGGCTGGTTTTTATGAGCTGCTTCACAACCAGGAATTGCTTTCCAAGAGATTCCCGCATTTAACTCACACCGTGCCGGAGGTTTCCTAGACATCTGCAGAGGTTTTGAGGAGGGGTCATGTCATGTCCCCTGCATGATGTAGACACAGCAGTGGGTGTTGCTCTGGGTGGTGAGGGCTTTGGACATGCTGGGCTGCACAGGGTGCAGAAATGGATCCTGGATGGGTAGCAAAGCTAATAGCCCCATCGCTGGGCCTTTAAACCAAAGCTGAAGCAAGCTGCTGAGACAAACTTCAGGGTCAAAAAGAAGCCCAGGTGTGCTGCTTTTGGCTGGGGTTCAGTAGCATCAGGTTTGCAAGTCTGAGTTACGGGGTTGTGATGAGCAAAGCAGGGCCTCGTGGAGCTGTGGGATAGGTATGGGGCGAATGCTGCTGCTTTTTTTCTGCCACCCTGGGCAGGAGCCAGAGACCCCACTGCTGTCCCCAGTGCAGAGCAGCACAAGGTATGGGGAAGCCCTGTGCAGACTTTCCCTCTTTCCTTCATCTCCATCCATTCCCATTCTGCTCTTGTTGCCTCCCCAGGCTGGGGAGCAGGACATAGGTGCTGGCTGCATTGGAGTGCAGAGATGCATTGGTGCACATTGCTCTCTGCAGGGGTTGTGCTTGGTTCCTTTGGGCTCTTTCTGAGGGATGGAGGGGGGAACGGCTCCTTCCCCAGCTCAAACAAGCAGCAGAAAGCTGTGTTTGCAGAAAGGGGCCTCATACCGACAGAAAGAGGAAGGAGGGAGCGTGACCAACCCAGGTGCCTTTCCCTGCCATGGCTTAATTTAAGCTTTTTACCTCTCAAACCATCACAAGATAATTCATGGCATGTCAGCTCCACATTTTCCATCTCCAGGCAAAGCCTGGTCCTTGGGGCACTGCTAGTGCACGGGGACAAGCTGCGCATGAGGCGGACAGCACACTTTTGCCTTGTTCAGACTTGCAGAGGCAGGCGAGGGGCAGGTAATCATTAACAGGGCCAACTGCTGTCATCCCAGCTCCGTTTACTGGGGCTGGGCTTGCACCTTTCCCATCCTCCATGTGTACACCCCATACACTCCCAGATGCGTTTCCATCCCACGGGAAGCCAGACAGTCCCGGGACACCTGGCTGAAAGAGGGGATGCTGAGGCATTCAGGGAGAAGGGCAGCGCTCTCCCCGGCAGGTACCGCCCCTTTCCCAACACCCCTCATCACAGCGATCCCATCCTGGGGCTGCTTCTCTCCCCCATCACACATCTGACACGGGCAGCCGGAAAGCACTCACTGCCATGGTTACTGATGGTCCTCTCCGCCGAGACACGGGCCAAGAGCCAACACAACGGGGTCTGGGCACTGAAGCGGAGAGGGCCCCCCCCTCTCAGTCGCACGTACACCAGTTCCTGGGCAGCAGCCCAGCGGGGCCAGGACAATTTGGTGTGCCTGACACCCGCCACAGGCCCCCGCTGTGAGCGCTGGGCAGGAGCTGAAAGGCTGAAGCTGATGAAAGGGAGGCGCAGGGGGTGGAAGGGACAGCAGGGGAAGGAGGCTGCTGCTCCGGGTGGAGAGGGGGCAGCCGGAGCAGCAGGCAGGCTGCCAAGCTGCCCTCAGGAATCCGAGCTTAAGGTACGAGTGTAGCTCCCCATCAGCCACCGTGTGCGCCTCTGCTCCCGCACCAGCCAGAGTGATTGCCTCCCTTTTATAAAGGAAACGCTGTAGGAGAGGTGGTGTTGGCTGCAGTCATCCATAGGAGTCTGGGGCTGGAAGTGTCCCTAATCCCCTGCTTTTGTAATCTGAGAGTGGAGCAATGGGATACTGCCAGCCCTCAGTGCTCAGCACTGCGGGCAGGACCACAGGGCTCCCCTCTGGAGCTGGGAATGAACAAGAGCCCCCCAGCAGGTTTATCCCCAGCATGGCTGGGCACAGCTCACCACAAATAAAGGCTGACAAAAGGGTTCTGAAATCCAGAGGTTGGATGCAGCTGTAGTACCCACTGAGAGCTTTGCTGCAAAGGGCAGGCCTGCCGCTGGGAATGCTGCCTCCCAGCCCCGGGGAGGAACCCGAGCTGGGTAGCAACAGCAGGCTCCCAGCTCCTCACACACTTCCAGGCTTTTCTGGATCACTTGGGATGGTGGTGAGCTTTTTCCCTGTTCCATAGTACACTGAATATCAATGTATGCCACAGGATGGGGGAGAAGGCCCGTCAGGACAAAGGCCCTGTATCCAGGGACCATCCCATGGGGATGCTGTGCAAGGAAGCAGGCGAGGACCTGGCCCAGCAGGGATCTCCTAAGAGTACCCCCAGTTTGGAAGGGAGTAGAGGCTTTGGGGTACAGCATTGTTTGCACTGCGTGGGGTGTCACTGATGAAGCACCCACTGCATTCTTGCGGATGCAGCAGGAGATGGGAACTAAAACATCCATCTCTTTATTTCAACAGCAAGAAACAACAACATCCAAACAATCCAAGTCAAAAAGCGACGGGAACGCAGGCTTGTGCCAGGCCCTGAGCCTGCTGGAGCCGGCACCCTCGCAGAGATACAAAAATACAGTCCTACAACAGCATCTAGGAAACACAGACCCAGGTATTGCACAGAACCCCTGCCCTCAGCAGGCAGGGCAACCAACACCCCCTCCGCCTTTAGCCACAACACAAGCCAGGCTTGGAATTGCACAGCAACTCGGCACGGAGGGGCCAGGGGAGGGGAACAGTGTGTCTCTTAACTACCTGTACAAAAACTCTAAGGGAAGATACAAAACTGGAGAGGAAAGGGGAAGCTGGGGCTGTAAACGCCTCTGGGTGTCCCGGCTGGGGGGCAGTGGTCTGGACCTCTGAGAAGATGACAGTGCTTTGTCTGTGTCCTGTGAGCAGTGCTGATGGGAACTCCAGGTGCTGCTGGAGCACCCCGGCTCTGATCACATTGGGATGCTATGGTTAACAGTTGCCGGCCCCTGGCACTCTGCACTGCTCTGTGCCTCTCTCCCCATCACAGCAACTGCCATCCTTCAAGGGAACTCTGCCCCTCAGCCAAAAAGCCTGAAGGGTGTCCTGGTTCTCTGTGGTATCCTCATGCCTTTTGTTGGTATTGGTATTAAGAGGGGTTCAAATGGTGCCACCAGTGGGCATAGTGCAGGTGGGGCCACACAGACCCCAACAGCAGCATCCTCCTCTCCTGAGACCCGAGTTGTGAGCACCACAACCATTGCTCACCCCTTGGTGCCAAGCAGGTCTGCAAGGCCCAGAGCCACTAGCTTTCCTCCTCTGCTGACACCTCCTGGTCCCAGAGACTGTCAGTTCTGTGAAATCCTTGCTGAAGGGCTGGCTTGATGCCTCTGTGGATGCTCAGCACCCACAGCATCTGCAGGGGAGATGGGTCATGGTGCCTCTTGCCCCTGGTAGGTGAAATGCCATCCCACTGCAGGTGTGACTCAGTGCTGGGAGCCCTGATGCTTTCTATGCATCCAAATCCCTCTTTCTGTTAAATCTGGAGAGGGTGAGCTGGTGTTTGCCCAGGGAGCTTGTGTCTGGGCTGGGAGAGCTCCCAAGTGTTCCCTGCAAAGCCCTGCACCCTGTTTACAGGATGGCAGGAGTCAAAACTCAGAGGGTGCGAGTTGCCAGACTGGGGGGCACGGAAGGAATCCCTGAGTGGCACTGACCCCATCACTGCCCCTCCACCCCAGTGCAACATCTCAAGCAGGGAGGGCAGCCAAATCCAAATTGGGATTTGGGAAATAAAACACGCTCCACCACAGCCACTGCCCAGGCCAAGCACAGCACTAAAGGCAACCATGAGGACAGTGGCTGCCCTGCTTCCTGATGATACTCTGTGGAAAGGCTGGGTGCACAAGGGACATGCCTCCTGCTGCAGAAGGCCCTGGTAGGGCAACACAAGAGACCCAGGGCAGCCCCAAACCAACATGAGGGAGCTGGAGGCAGGGGCAGCAAGGGTGCTTCCCTTGTGGTAAAGTCTGAGGCTCATGGTCTCTGCTGTCTGCCCATAAAGCCTATGCCTCCTGCAGCTGTGCCAGACAGGAGAGGAGGAACAGGACATGGACCTAGCCAAGCATCTAAAGGAGGGCACTGCCAGCAGGGAGAAGGGGCAAGCAATAATATCCCACAAGGATCATAGGTAGGAGCCTGCAGAGGGGGTATCAGGATCACTCCTGCGCACAAAGGGTGACCAGGACCATCATCCTGACCTAGCCCAACAGGGCTATGGGATGAAACCCATCCAGAGCAGGAACGAAGGATGAAGGGTGACACACACAAAGAACCAGGCTTCAAGTCCCAAATACCCACTGTCCTCATAAACAAGAGTCCCAGCCCAGGCTGGGGCAGAGCTCTGCTGTCTCCATCTCCTCTGGGGACCAGGTTGACACATAGGGAGGGCTGGGCCAGACTCACAGCTCTGCCAGTTAGCATTGTCCTCTTCTCATCCTGCCCGAGCTGGCCTGGGCTAAGGCACACCGAGCACTACACAGCAGTCTCCTGGTCCTCCCGCTGGATCATCTGGTAGTGCTGTCGGTTCTCGAGGTAGGCAGCTAAGTCGGGGTCATTGGCTTTCTCAGCCCGGTGCTTGGGGGTGTCTCCCTGCACAGAGGAGGCAGAAGATGTCAGAGTACCAAGCACCGCCTAAATGATGCCTCAGCACCCAAAGGTGCTCCTACACCCCAACCAAAGAGGTGGCTGCAGAGCCCACAGCCAAGGTGAACGCATGCTCTTCCCCAGCACTAAGGAGGCAGGCGGGAGAGGGCGAGGAATGAGGGGTATGTCTGGGGAATGCCCGGGAATACCAACCCCCCTCTCCTCTCGCTGCCTGGCTAGCGCTGCGGCTCCCGGCGGAGGATCACGTTTCACCAGCTTATTGCAGCCATCTGGACTGTGTCCACTAATGAACTCCCGCACTCCATAAAAAGCCAATCTGTTAACAGCTCCCAGCTCCGGCTCCTCTCCCCCTTCCCTCCCCCTTGCTCCTCCTCGCCAACTGCCGGGGCTCTGCTGTGCCGCAGAGACCTGGCGCTCCGCCGCTGCCATTGAAAACCGGCCCTGCAAGGGACACCCAGCCTGCCCGGCTCGTCCCCTGGTGCACAGCACTGGGGTGCTGGGGCATCCGGGATGGGAACAATGGTCAGACACGCAGAGCCAGCATCCATGGATGTAGCCGTGGATAAAAGCACACCCGTGCGCAACTGGAGAGGTGCGATGCACTAAGGAACCCGTTCTTTTGCCTCCTCCCCACTGCTCCTGAACGCCAGCGTTCATTTAATGAAGCAGGGGGGGAAAACAGAGGAGGAACTGATCTCTTCTGTTCTACAACACTGCCTGCTCGCAGCCTGAAACCGGAGCTGCCCGGGCCCCTCTGCCCAGCCAGGCTGAGGCACGATAACCGATAAGACCTGGCTCCCCTTCCCACTGCAGGGAGGGGGATCAGCCTGCTCCAAACCCCTGCTACAGGTCTGATGCCACAGACCAGGCTGTGACCCTGATGTGCGGTGGGCTCCTGCCTGTGCAGGCTGTGACCCTCAGCCCATTCAGGTCAGTGCAGCAGCACAGAGGGGTCCCCAGGCAGCCACAAACCCCAACATGCATAAGCACAGGCACGTGCAAGCACACTCCCTGCGGCAGCATCATGCCTGGACAGGACTCCCTGTTGTGCTGGCAGGTTGGGGGCTGCTCCTCTCCTTCAGCAGATGAAGGGGCTGGGGGCAGAGAGGGGCTATGCTGGTTCAGCTGCCAGCCAGACCAGCCCCACTCTGCGTGCTGTGCGAGGCCCAGGCCTTAGCCAGGACCGAGGAGGAGTGATGGGGAGCCAGAGATTGTCTGCTCAGCACCTCCCTGGCAGCTGGCAACGGCTGTGCATTGTCTGAAGCAGCCCCAAGCTCCACTGGTCTCTCAGCTGGGCTCCTACCCTGTGCACAGACCCAGAGATTGCACCTTCTTGGCTTGTTCTACATCTCCTCCACTACACCCCATCACTGTGAGCCTCTGCCAGACAAATACAACTCTGTCCCCTCTGCTGCATGCCAGTGCTGGGAACCTCCTGTACCAAAACGCAGCCTCAAGCCCCCTTTTTGAGTCTCCTCTGCTGGGGCTGGCACAACTCCCTGACACCAAGGCACGTCCTGGTTAACTCGGAGCCAGCTTCACCCGCTGAGAGGAGCTCCCAGTGCCCCCATCCCAGCGGGGGAGAGCGGGGGGAGCCCTGCAGCTGGGAGGGAGCGCGCAGCGAGAGTGTCCTCGCTGTGACCCCGGAGGGTGGGAAGGGGGAGACAGGGATGAGACATTCCAGTCCCTCGCTTCTAATTTAATAAAACAACAGGGAGAGGAGCGCAGGGAGGAGAGGGATTTAACCCCTCTGCAGCTGGGCAAGCACGGGTGCTTCATGTGCATCCTTGTGTGTTCATGAGGATGAGCAGGGGTGGGTACACCTCCCGCATGGAGACAGGCTGAGAAAGCTGGGCCTGGAGAAGAGAACCTGTGCAGTGACCTCAGAGCAGCTTCCAGTATCTGAAGGGGGCCTACAAGGATGCTGGAGAGGGACTCTTCATTAGGGACTGTAGTGATAAAACAAGGGGCAATGGATTCAAACTAACACAGGGGAAGCTCAGGCTAGATATAAGGAAGAAATTCTTTGAGTGTGGTGAGGCACTGGAATGGGTTGCCCAAAGAAATCGTGAATGCTCCATCCCTGGTAGTGCTCCAGGCCAGGTTGGACAGAGCCTTGGGCGGCATGGTCTAGCGTGAGTCATCCCTGTTCCTGGCAGGGGGTTGGAACTGGATGATCTTAAGGTCCTTCCCAACTCAAACCACTGTATGATTCTATGTCAGCTCCTCTCTGGTTGGCAGACACCACCCAAAGCACCTTGCTCTGCTCTCCTGCCAGCCCCCAGTGCGCCCCACTGCCATCCCTCCCACCATCACCTGCAGGTCCGTCTTCATGAGCGAGGCCCCAGCCTCCACGATGTAGTGGCAGATAGTGCGCTGGCGTAAGGCTGCAGCCTGGTGCAAGCAGGTTTCACCGCTGGGGAGGAGAAAGCAGGAGATGTGAGATGTCCCCCCCAAACGGGGACAAGCAGCGTGTGCGTGTGGCAGCAAGGGACAGCAATTCAGAGCAGCAGGAGCTGATGGTGGTTGTGTGCTTGTCCAAGTAGGGGATGGGGTGCTACTCAGGGATGCTCAGTCCAAAGTGGACTGGGAGCCATGGCTGGGAATGAGAGTGATGGCAGCTGGTAAATGCACAGATGACCTTGCATAGGGTCCAGCCAACAGGTAACACAAGTCAGCCAGCAACTTACTTCTCCTCCTCTGTGGCATCAAGGATTTCTGAAGGGGCTGTGGAGAGAAAAAACACAGGGTGAGTGAGACCCAACCGTGGGGCACCACCTACTCCCCAGTACATTCTGCATCTTTCCATATGGGCTGTTATATCCATGCTGCCTGCACAGGTCCTGGTTCCAAAGCAGCATCTGAGCCCAGGGAAGAAGAGTTGTGCTGGACTCAGTACAGAGAAATATCTACACAAAAATAAAGCAGCTCCTATTTCAGTGGGAGCTCCCAAAAGCAACAAGGCAGCTGCCCTGAAGGCAGGAGCAGGACACTGAGAAATGCTTCCCAGAGACATGCTGGTCCCTGCCAGGGTGCAGCGACAGCCATAGGAGCACCCCGCTGCTGGCAGAGAGACGCCAGGGAAAGCCCACATGTCAGAAGGATGATGTGGCAAACCCAGAGGGAAGGGATCTAAGCCCAGGAGAATCCATCTGAGCAGAGGGTTGGGAATTCTTTTCTCCTGTGCTAGGGATGGTACTCTGGCCCCAGCTCACCATTCTCGATGATGTACTTGACAATGTCCTTGCTCCCTGATTTGACAGCATGGTGGAGGACAGTCTGGCCCGAGGAGTCTCTCACCATCAGGTCCCTTCCAGCCCGGTGCAGCTCTTGGAACTACAGGATTGACAAATTGCTTGGGATGAGTTGCTTTGCCCCAAGCGCTGGTATCGTGTCCCCAAGATGCCCAGCAGGTTCTGTGGCTATTCAGGGCCTGGCAGGGAGCTTTGTTCAGCTCAGCCATGACACCAAATTCCTTCCCTCCATGTCCCCCAGGAGAGGAACAGGGCTTCTTGCTAGGAGTCTGCCTGGTTTCCAGCCACCACTCCTGGAGGAAGGCCCTCAACAGGAGCTGCTCCACAGCAATCACTGCATGGCTGACAGGGCTGCCCATAGCCAAGCAGGCCACAGGGAGACTGGCCAGAGCCAGCCCTGGCTGCTCCTTGCAGAGGCAGCAGGAGCACCTACCTTGCTGAAGTTGCCACTCTTGGCAGCTTCTATCAGGTCATCTGCAAAGAAGGAAGATGGGCTGGGGTCAGAAAAGTGAAGCTGTAACACCATTAATCTTGGAGCCAAGGGTTAGGCACCAGAGGAGAAGACAGATGAGGGTGCACATGAGGTGTACCCTCAGGTGCTAACGTCTTGATCAGACTGGTTTTACACGGCTCCTACAACCTCAGGCACGTAAGGGACAAACAGGGGAAGGAAGGAGACACCACGTAGCTGGGGGCACAGCTGGACCCCAGCCCCAGGAGGGAAGCAGTCTCTGCCTATGGGCAGGATGACTTGTGATGGAAGCGGGGAGCAGACCTCCTGGATGTCAGCCAGCAGCCGAGACGCCTCTCACCCATGACTCACTCACACTTCCAGGCACTGGGCTCCGCTCAAGCTCCAGGAAACTCTTTCCATTTGCTCAGCTTGGTGAGGCCCCTGACCTTGTGTTCCCACCTCCCCAGCCCCAGCCAGCCCCTGGCAGAGACAGCCCCCAACCAAGCCCTCAGCACTCAGCTCTGCAGGTGGGGGATTAACCCCTTGCCATGCCGCTTCCCACATGGAGGAGCCAGGAAGGCGCCTGGCCGGGCTGCTCCACAAATCACTGTCAGGTCACTCCTGCCACCTCCGCGGTCACCTACCTGCAGGCCTCCATGCTCCCACCTAACATGCAGGTAGCAGGGCTCCTGCTGCACACCAGGGAAAGGACAGCCAAACCCCATATGCTGGGGACCCAAAACAGTGTGACCTGGAAGGGGTGGGACAGCACTCACCTTGGTGCGGGAGGCAGCACTCAGCCTCGGCCCTGGAAGGGAAGAGGAAATGGTGTAACTAATCCTGCCAGTCCTGGCAGCAGGCATGGATAGGTAGGACGGCTGTGGAGGAGCCTGCCCATGACAGTACTCTAGCAGGAAGGAGAAGAGGCAGGGCAAGAGATTTTGCTGCTCTTTGGCCATGTCATCTGCTCCTTTCCTGATTTTTCCCCATCCCCACTCCCATTTCTGCTGCTGCTGCTCCCAGTCCTGTTGCTCACCCATACCCAAGGGTGGCCCCAGTTGGGCTCAGAATCACCCATGCCCTTTGCTCCACCAGGCACTGGAGCCACCTTCCAGCAGCACTGGCAGAGGAGCAGGGAAGACAGGATGGCATCTCACTCCTTGGTTTAACTCAGCACTGAATTCCTGCTTGCTTCCAGGGAGCCCCCCCTGTAATATGGCCCAGGGATCAATGCTGTAAAGCCAACTCTGGCTCTCCCATCATTGCTCATCCTTCCTGAGGTCCAGGACCCCCCTTCCAGACTCACCTGGGGGCAGGAGAGGAGGGTGGAGAAGAGGAAGAGGGAGGGAATGTAAAATGGTCCCCAGTGGGTGCAGCAGACAAGTCAACGAGGTCAGGCATGGCAGGAGAGGTCCCCACAGTCTGCGTGATCACTAGCTCTGGGTCCAGCACATAGAGCTCATCCTGAGAGATCTCTGTCACGTAGTTGAGGTGCTCCTGAAAGACAGAAGCCAGCCCTCCTCAGAATCAGGACCTACTTCATAGCTCCATCCCCTCACATCCCATGCCCTGTAGCCCAGACACTTGTAGCAGAGTGATGGTGGCTTGAGGAGTCCTGGGACCTGTGCCTGGGAAGCCTCCTTGTCCTTTTCAGGCTTCCCATATCCTGCCAACTTAGCAGATGACCCATACACCTCATCTCCATGTTCTCCTCTCCAGATCATTATTTAATGCTGGTTAAGACGACCCTAGTCAGTGGGTGCCTTGGCCAGCCTTGCTGGCCTAACCCTTACCTGCTCTGCTGTAGAGCCCTGCAGACAGCTTCCAACCCAAGTCTCTGCTCCTACCCACACTTCCTCCCTTTTCCACGGGAACCTGGAGGTGCTGGGGCTGGTCCTGGTCCAGGCTCATCACACCACCCCTTGGGGGATGCCACAGGGCAAGGGTGTGAAACCTGTGTGTCTCCAAGGCTAAGCCTTTCAGTCTGCATGAATATGGGGCACCCAAGCACCTTCCCAGTAGATGCTGAGGGGACGATGGTGGATGAGGCTGCACTCACTTGTGCACGGTCTATCCTGTAGAACCGATCTGCTGTGGTTGCTGTAAAATAGGGACAGAGAGAGACAGGGTGATTCTTGGTGTGAGATGAGGAGACAGCCATTTCCACCACTGAGTGCTAGTGAACTGCTCAGCTGTTTTGTAGCATGCACTGAGGGCACAGCAGGGCTGGGAGAAGAGGGAGCTCAGCCTCCCACTGACTTGACTGAATGAGGTCCCATGGATCACCATGAGGCCATGTCAGTGCTTGTGACTGCCAGGCACAAAGCTTGCCACCACCTGTAGATCCAAGGCCTTCCTCCCAAAGACAGCAGGAGAGCTTCAGATCAGCCTGTTGCTGGCAGCAGCCTGAGTGCATCCCTTTGTCCTAAATGAGGCTCTGGCCTCTTTCCTGACATACCTTCCTGAGCCAGAACCTGCTGCTGTGGGAATGGCAGGAGGATGGAAAACAGTCCTGGTATAGCAGTCCTGCTAGGGACACCTGGAGCAACAGCACCATCAACCCCATGTGCAGGGCTGGAATTCCAGAGGGAGAAGGTGTAACCTCTCTGCATAGCATGGGACTTCCCAGGCTCACTTTGCAGCCCATGGCTGTGCTCTGCTGTTCTCTAAGCCCTGCTACTGGGAAGTCAGGGAGATGAAATGCCACCAGCAGTGATTCCTCAGTCACCTTCCAGGTATAGAGGGAGAGCTCTGCAGCCTCTTGGTGAGTGAAGGCAAAAGGAGAGGAGATATTTTGATGCAGGGGAGAAGAAGCAGCTGGAGCCCAGCGAGGAGCCTGATGCCCGTATCACTGGGATGCTCCTGGTGAGCCTTCCTGCAGTCTGCTGGAGCAGGGGGCCCCCTGCCTGCATGACACAGGAGAGCAACCCCAGCAGCCCTGCAGGCACATGCAGCCAAGCTGCCTTTGGCTGTGTGGGCAGGACACCAACAGATGCCGCTTGCTCCACTTGCAGTCAGCAGCCAAAGACATGGCATGGGGGCCAAAGCTCTGCAGCACTTGGACACTAATACATCCCTAAGTCCTAAGCCTCGGATGGCTCTCAGTGGCTTCTCACTAAGGGTCTGTCCCATCACCCCCCGAATTCACAGAATCATAGAATTGTTAGGTTGTGAAAGACCTTTAAGACCATCAAGTCCAAGCACTAACCTAGCAGTGCCACGTCCATCACTAAACCATGTCCCTAAGTGCCATGTCTACACAGCTTTTAAACGCCTCATCACTAGGTATGGTGGCGACTGAACCATTTCCCTGGGCTAGCAACTGTGATTCTCCCAGCTGTTGACAGAACATATTGTCTGCCTCTTCATTCCGGTTGGGAACTCTGACTCCCACCATGACACCTGCCCTGTTGGCCTTCCCCCTGATTCTTACCCATAAACACTCGACCCTATCATTACCATCATTAAGCTCTAGACAATCAAAACACTACCTTACAGGGCTATCCCATTGCCTTTCCTTCACTGTCTATCCCTTCTGAAGAGTTCATAGCCATTCACTGCAGCACCTCAGCTGTGAAGTCATGCCACCATGTTTCTGTGATGGCAAATGTCAGTTTTCCTGCTGCACAATGGCTTCCAGCTCTTCCTGTTTGTCGCCCATGCTGTGTGCATTGGTGTATATGCACTTCAGTTGGGCTATTGATCCCATCACCTTTTCAGGGGAAGAAGCCCAAATTCCTATGTGATCATATTCATATGTGTTTTCATGGTTTCTAACACATCAATAACCCTTGTGTCTTTGCTGCCCCATGGATCTCCATCCCCTCCCTCCACTGAGATGGCAGACTGAAGGACCCCACTAGCACGCTGTCAGCACATCCAGGGGAGGATGATACTCACAGTCCAGGAAGCACCACTTGGGTGACAGCTTCTGGGATGACAGTGTCTTTGGTTTGGCTCCATCTCCCTCCTGCATAACAAAAAGAGATAATAAAGTTGTGTCTCTTGGCCTTGCCATCAATCCCCAGAGCATCCCTCCTACTCTGGGAGATCCCTGAAGACATGGAAGACCACAGGCACTTGGATGGCAAGGGGAACTTGAACACAGACAGGAAGAGCATGCAGCCATGGGGAGCAGCATGGGACATTTTGGAGCTGACATACAGCAGCTCCCTGGAGCAAGATGCGCCACAATGAGCCCACAAGACTGGCACAGTGGACATGACAGATGGGCCTTGGGGACAGAGCAAGGGCATACACACCTGAAAGAGCAGGCGCTCTAAAGCAGAGAGCTGGGGAGGGAAATCCTGCAGAAAGGCAAGATGTGCCATTACAGAGTTTGTCTGGGTGGCCCCCCCATCCCCTCTCAGCCCACTGGAGCTGCTTATTGTGCTGCCATATCTGGCTTTATACACCGCCTGGCCAAGGTCCCTGCTCCCTGCCCTGCTTTGAGGCCAAAGCAGAGAGCCCAGAAGAGAGAACAGGTAAACCATGAGGTGACTGAGGAACACCAGCCTCAGCGCACACCTTTAGGAGGCTGTAGAGGCATAAGTCTACCAAGTTGACACCACAAGAAAGAATCACCCTCTGAGCCTGGGAGCTGCTAGCCATGTGCCTGCCTGCATGCTCTCACCAGTGCCTGGGCACTAGGCAAGCAGGGGACAGGCATGCAGAGCAGGCAGATGCCAGTGTGCCAATCTGGGCACACAGGATGCTATGTACATGCTGGATGGGATCCCCTAAGGCACAAGAGCCAGGTAACTGGGCACTGAGCAAGGTCCCTTCAGTCTGATGGGAGAAAATCAGACTGACAGTGCAGCACCAGGAGGCACGCTGTGGGCTCAGAAGGCACTGCTCACCAGGAACAAGGCTTACACAGCCCACGTCCAGTCATGGACACGCATTAGCACATTGGCAGGAGCACAAAAGTATTTGCAAATATAAAGATCTTGAGAGGGGACAAACCTAATCCAGGCACCTGGGGAGGGCAGAGCCATGCCAGGAAGCAGGGAGCCTGCAGAGGGCTGAAGGAACACAGCACAGCAAACCAAGGGACAGAGGAAGGGCCCTCCCAAACCCCCGGGGGCTGAAGGCATCCATAGGACGTGTGCTGGCTTTTTCTGCTGCCCCTTCATTTTCTGGGCCACTGACACTCTGGGCCGGGAGAACAAGGTCAGAGGAGCAACGCTGAGGAAGAAGCTGCCAGAGAGCAGAGAGCAACAACCCATCCAGCTTGCGATCCTGCTGCCACCACATGGTGAAGGCAAACCATGACCTGTTACCACAAGCAGGAGCCTATGTGTTGATGTGTGCAGGTCAAGGAAGCCTAGAAATCCCTTCCCCAAACCCATCCACCCTCAGCATCCATCCTTGACCACTTCCCATGCAGAAGCTCACCTCCTGCAACCTCTCGATTTGGGTCCGGCACAATTCCAGGTCGCTGTCTCCTGGAACCACGATGATTCCCAGCGGCACGGCTGCACGACAGGCAGAGACACAAGTCAGGGAGCAGCACCGACACCTCCCACAGCTTAGCTGAGGGCACTGCCAGACTCAGGGGCTGTGGATCCCACCCCCTGGTCACTCAGCTGGTCACTCACAGGCTTCCTTGAGCTTTTCCTTGTCGTAGTGCAGTGCCTCATAGTCACGCATGCTGATTCGGCTCACCCGGATCCGCAAGCGCTCGGGCACTGGCTGCTGGCTGTGTGCAGGGTGGAAGGGAAAGGGAGGGGATCAGGAAGTGGTAGCCCAGTTTCTCCTTATCCCATTCACCTCTCCAAAACAGGCAAGAGCACAGTCTTGTGCAAAGATTGGGGTGGGGAGGCTGGCACCAGCAGCTTCTCCAACACAATCATAAAGGAGTTAGAGTTGGGAAAACCCCTAAGGTCATCCAGCTCCAACCCCCCTGCCATGGGCTGTGTGGGGGACACCTCACACTAGACCACGTTGCCCAAGGCCCTGTCCAACCTGGCCTTGAACACTACCATGGATTGGGCATTCACTTCTTTGGGCAGCCTGTGCCAGTGCCTCAGCACCCTCACAGTAAAGAACTTCTTCCTTATATCTAACCTGAACTTCCCCTTTTTAAGTTTAAACCCATCACCCCTTGTCCTATCACTATAGTCCCTGATGAAGAGCATCTTTGTACGCCCCAGACAAAGGTTCTGGCCATACTTCTGTGACCTGATTCCTTCCCAGGCCCTTGAGAGAGGATCAAAATGTCTCTGGGAGTGATGGATGAGTCCCAGATCCCCTTTCCCCATCCTGCCATGGAGAGGAGGTGGCAGATTGATCTTGGAGCTTACTCATTGAGCAGAGGCATGGAGTTGCGCCTCTTGGTCTTCTGCACCATGTTGGCTTGGTTGCGCAGGGAGATGTGGATGCAGGAAGCGGCCAGCTTGCAGGGCTCCCCATCTACCTGCATGGGGATGGCCTTGGACGTGGTAAGAACCACCTGCCGGCACTGATACAGCCGCTCCCCATGGCCACCGACCTGCAAGGCAGCCTGTGAAAGGGTCCAGAGTGAGAGCAGGGCATGGACTGAGGCGTGGATGGGGGGGAGCACACATTGTCAGATGCTGCAAGTGAACCAAAGTCTGAGGGTCTCAGGCCTGATCTCAGTGGGAAGGGACCCAAGGAGACCAGAGCATGACACCACCTCACCTAAACCTCAGAGAGCACTGTCACACAGGCCAGCCCAACTGCTCAGGAGAGTACCTGTGGGGCTGTTGGGCTGGCAGATGCCCAGTCAATGGGACCAGTTGCTCCCCTGGTTGCCAGCTACAACCAGCAACAGCACCAACTCACCAGGGATGTCATGGTGAAGCCAATAACTTCAATGCAGCCATCATCATGGCGCTGTGGCTCGAAGTCGTGGTGCTCCCCAGGGTTGCCCCAGGGCATGGTGCCAGCACAGTACCTGTGAAGGGATGGTGAGTGATGCATGGATAGGCACCCTAAATCCAGGCAAGGATATATGACATGGGGATGAGGAGCCCAGCACATGAGGGCAGGTCCTGTGGCTGCTCACCTGGGGATGTTCAGGAAAACCAGGCACTGGGGCTTCAGCTCTTGGATCTTGGAGGTCAGGTCTGTCCCATCGCACTGGAGACAACACAGGGGCATTCAGACTGCTGTAAAGGGGATGCTGGCCTTCCCTAGCCCCTCTGCTCCCTACAGTGACTGTTCTCCAAGCCACGGGAAGCTGATGCTTGCAGAAATACATCCTTTCCCAACCCTGAGATACTCAGTGTGCCTCACACCTCCACAGCTCATGCCCCTCCCGGGCCCAAAGCACCCTGTGCACTTACAACCAGCTTGACGTGCTTTGCCAAATCTTTGGAGCTCCCAGTGAGGAAGTCAGAGAAGGCTGTCTGCCAAGGCAAGAGAGAGTGTCAGTGCCCACGTTCCCTGAAATGCCACCGACCTTCAGACCTCAGCTGAAAACAACCTGATCTATTCTACTTGCTATTTTGCCTACCAAAAACTACGGGGCACCTTCAGCAACATGCCCTATGATTCCTTTGCCAGCTCAGCCCTGGCTTTAGGGAAGAGCTGGCAAGGTGGGTTTCCTCCAGTGACAGACCTGAGTCACAGACAAATTCAGTCTCAAGCTGTAATGAAGTACCATAAAACAGAGCTGATGTGGCCCCATCTAGAGATACAGGAGAGACAGTTGTGTCCTCTGTTACACAGATCCCGGGGTCCCCTTTGGGTTTAACTGCACAGAGAGGAGGGGAGGCACAAACAGGAGATGTGAGATGGTACAGAGCAGCACTTGGCCTTTAGAACTGCTCAAATGCCCATCATACTGCCACCTGGGTAAGGAATTATATTGGCTAACAAAGACAAGGAATTATACTGGCCAACAAAGACAACACTGAGGCAGAGCTCTACAGGTGAGACACAGGAGGGTGGCATAATTAGCTAGAGAGCTGTAACTGGCCCAAGGTATAAAATAGAATACTAAAGTAGTCAGTGGACTCTATGGAAAGGCTTCCTGTTCCTCTGCAGGGGGGACAGCCTGCCTCCCCACAGCTCCAGGGAGGTCTTGCCTGGGTGACCATCCGTGAGCCGGAGAACAAGAACAATAGTGGCAGGAGATCAAGACAGCAACAGCACCATAGGACAGAGAGCAAGTTATATTGCCAGCAGTGCTCACGGCCAACGAGGAGCTGCAGCTCCCAGGCTCCAGCCTTTCTCCAGCTTTGGGGGCCTCAGCTTGGGTGCACGTGAAGCCTTGTGTAACTGAGATGAGCGAGTTTAGAGTGTGGACAGGAGGCAGGGCCGTGCCTGTGCTCCAGCTGATGCTATGGCTGCTGTGAAGGCAGCTCTCCTCCACACACTCACCCCAGCATAGAACATTTTATTCCGAAACCGGCTGTTGAACTTCTCTGGGTTGGCCTCTAGGGAAAGGAGAAAGAAGCCCAGGTCATCGGCCTGCACATGGAAATGTTTCACTTGCCAGCTCTCCCCAGACACAGCTCTTCAGCCAGCCTTGGCCAGAAGGCAGCCCCCCAGCTCCCTTCCCATGCAGGCATCCCTCGTCCCCCTCTGCAGCCTCCACTTGCTTCTCAGGTTTGCTCCTCCTCCAGCCCTGTCCCTGGGGCAATCCTCTGGGTCACTTTCCTAAGGGATGCTTCACAGGCCCATCTCTGGGGCAGCCCGCTCGCCACAGACCCTGCCCAAGCCCTGCCACCCCTCTGTACCTCGGGATTCATGGAATTCCAGCGTCACCCGTGCATCAAAGCCGAGGCTGAAGTAGTTATTAAAGACATCCAAGGGGAGCTGAAATGGAAAGGAGGGATAAGGATGAAGCTGCCAGTGTGTGGCCATAGCAAAGACAAGGTCAGGCTACTGCAGAGCCATGTATGGTGCTCATGAGGCTGAGGGAGCCCATTTGCCTTCCCCCAGGAAAATACAGAGGACATAAGCCTGAGATGACAGATAAGCCCCTGGCTCCTAGGGATAGGAAGACACTCTGCAGTCACATGTGTTTCTACTAAAGAAACCATCTCAGAGGGACTGGGCTTACACCTGATGCAAGCTGTGGTTATAAAACCTCCGGTGGACAGCTAGTGCTGATCTCCATGTGCCTCACTGTGTGTGATGTGGGTCAGTTATGAGGGGAGGAGTGGAACTGGAGCAAGGAGAGGGAAAGACCAACCCAATGCTGTAGCCCCAGGTGCTAAGGCTACCTGAACCAGTGGGAGAAAGAGGAATGCAGACCCCCGCACAAGGAACAACACGGACAGGAGATGTCCCACCTTGTCCGCAGCTGTCTCATCCTTCTCCTCAGGGTTTGCATCAGGGTTCGGCTCCACATGGAGGTTCCAGCGATCGAGCTGCACAATGTTCCCATCTTCCACGTGTGACAGGATCTTGGACAGAGGCTCATCCGTGTAACCCTGGTGAAAAACAGAACCTGGCAAGTCTCCTACCTGCCTCCTGCAGAGATGTCCCCAAAGACAGTGGGCTTTGGGAAGACATCCCAGAACAAAAGATGTGGAAAAGACTGACTCTACTTGAATGCACCACAAAGTGGGACTATAAATATAAAACAATACATCTTCCTTCTGAAACTCTCCCAAAGTTTAAAATAATGATTGCTTTTGTTAATGTCCTAATAGATTATAATCTAATGCAGAATAATTCAAATGTCACACCAGTGACATTCAAATGGCACTTCTTTGTTGGTCTGTATTTAGAGCAAGTCAAAACACTCAGCCCATGCAAATTCCCACTCATGTGTCTGGAACCAGAGATGAAGCGCTCAATCCCCCACAGCAACAGCAGGCGCTTGCGCCCATCACTTACCCCACCCCAGTTCATTGTCCTGGCCAAGTCATTCCCCGTCCCCAAAGGTAGGATGGCCACAGGAGGAGGTGGGTTGAGGCGTAACTGGTCCAGAATGGAGAGTATCCAGCCCACCTGCTCGGGCAGGAGTGCAAAGAAACAGTTGGTTATTCCAGGGACTGGCAGGCAAGTCCCACCTCAGAGCACTAGCAATGGCAGAGGAGGAGAGATGGGGACCCCTTAGCCCCCACTGAAGCTATTCAGTGTCTTTAATGCTCCAAACAGATGCTGTGGGAGATGCCAGTAACCCCAGTGAGGAAACTGGCCCCCAAAACTGTCTGCAGTTCTGGTGTCCCCAACATTAGAAGGCATGGAGCTGCTGAAGCAAGTCCAGAGGAGGCCATGAGGATGATCAGGGGCTCGAGCACCTCCCATACAAAGACAGGCTGAGAAAGCTGGGTCTGCTCAGCCTGGAGAAGAGAAGCTACATGGAGACCTCAAAGCAGCTTCCAGTATCTGAAGGGGGCCTACAAGGATGCTGGAGAGGGACTCTTCAACAGGGACTGTAATGATAGGACAAGGGGTAATGGGTTCAAACTTAATCAAGGAAGATTTAAGCTGGATATAAGGAAGAAGTTCTTTACTGCAAGGGTGGTGAGGCACTGGAACAGGCTGCCCAAGGAAGCTGTGAATGCTCCATCCCTGGCAGTATTCAAGGCCAGGTTGGACAGGGCTTGGAGGAACCTGGTCTAATGAAAGGTGTCCCTGCCCATAGCAGAGGGGATGGAACTGGATGATCTTAAGGTCCTTTCCAACCCAAACCATTCTATGACTCCATGATTCTTAAAAGCTGTAAGTCCAGACATGCTTACAGACTAGCACTCCCTGGAGCCGTGCATGGGGGACCCACAGTATCCAGTGGCACCAGCTGGCACCACCATGGACACTAGATTACAGTGAGGAGGGCTGCTGCTGGCACTGGAAAGGTACAGAGGGGCTGGGGGACTCACTGTGCCATCTCCCCCACATGCCAGGATCCGGAGGTTGTGGACCTTGCGGTACAGCTCCAGCCTGCAGGGAACAGGGAGGGTGAGGAGGGAAGAGGCATTGAAGGCGTTACAGGGGGTCCCTGCCCACCCTGCATTCATGCCATGTGTGTGTCTCCCTCCCCACCGCCACAGCAGCTCACAGATTAGACCAGCCCTCCATCAGGAAACACTGGCTGATCACAGGGTATCCTAGAGATGCCTCTCAAAGCATGAACTTGGTGGAGGTCTCTGCACAAGGGAGCTAAGGAGCATCACATTTCCACCAACCATGGGAAGAGCTCTGGGGAAGAATCTCTGGGGCAGGGATGGGGGACAGAAGAGTGCTGCCCCATCAGTACTCACGCCTCCTTGGGTCCACCCTGGCTGAGGTCAAAAACTTGCCGTGGGTTGAGATACCACATGAAGGACTGGATGATCTTGGCTCCCTGTGGGGAGAGGAAAGACTTCAGGTAACAGGGAGCTCCCAGCGGGTGGCAGAAGAAGGGGACAGGCCAAGACAATGCTGTTCTCAGGGGATTCAGGCAAAGCCTGGCCTAGGTGGGCACTGCCAGGCAGCAAACTGGCACTGTGGGGGTTGCCTTGCCTCTTCTGCAGCTGAGACATCACCAAAGCTATGGCGAGACCTCAGCAGCCAAATGGCAATGCCCTCACAGAGCTTCCTTCTCAGGGAGATGCAGGACACATGGCCATACCTGATTGCCACCGCTCTTGGGGTTCACAAACACCAGCAAGGGCTTCATGAGAGGAGCTGGCATGGGCTTGATGACAAAGGGTTTCCACCTCCCTTCCTGCAAGAAACACTGCAGGTCCTTCAACAAACAGGGAAACACAAACTTCCACCTGAGCTGAGCCCTAACGCTGCACAGATCAGGAGTGGGAGGAAGACATCCCAGCCACGCCATCAGCCTATAGCTAGGATCTGCCCTGCCAGCAGGCGCCCTCCCTCCACCTCAGCCTCCTTAACCTCAGCTCAGACACAGCAAAGCCCCTTGTTTCCCAGTTCTGCTCCTTACTGCCCTCCCCCTCCATGCTTCCAAGACAAGGTCATTCCCTGTCCTCTCATCTCTTACCTCAGCCCCCTTTTTGCTGGATTTCCGCTTGAACGATGTCCTCTTCTTCTTCTTACTTGACTTCAGTGGATTCTGGAGAGAAACAAAACAAACCCCCAAGTCCTGTGAGGAACTGCTGGGCAAGCAGGAGCTGTGAAAGAGCCACAGGAGTTGAGGTGCCTTACCTGGGGCCGCCGGACCCGCAGGATCCAGGTGGGAGGAACAACGACAGCAGCGTGAGCTCCCAGTGAGCAGGGCTCTTCGATGTGTTGCAGCATGAAGCAGGAGACTTTGCTGTGATACTGGGGAAGAAGACAGACAGAAAACTCAGCCACCATGGGGACAGCCACTGTCTCCCCCTCCCAGCTCCTCCATGCCAGTGCAGGGAGTGCTGGAGGAAACCATGCAGGAATTTTGTAACGGGAAAGCAATGAAGAGGAAATTTCTCATAGAATCTCACAGCTACCACAGTACAGCCTCTCCCAGTAAGAGGAGCTGTTAAGGGAAGGTTGCAGAGAAGCAGCCTGGGGAGTCCCAGCAGAAAGCAGACATCATGAGGTGCAGAACAGGCTGGTTAAGGCATTCAATGGGGGCTTTGCTCACCGCTTGCTTGCACCAGGAACAGCTGATGGCTACAATCTCTTTACTGTGGAAGGCAAACTTCTGCTGGAAACCCTGTAGAGAAAAGGGTAAGAGGCTTAGAGAATTCCCTCCCAGCTCTCTACCACCCAGCAGGACTTTCCCACCACCAAGGGAGATGTTAACAAAGACAGCATGCCTGCAGCTGGAGCCCTCTGTGTCCCTGTCAGATAGCCCCAACCACCACTATGGCACCAGGGAGGCCAGTGAGCTCTGCAGGGGTGTCCCTATTGCTCAAGGAAAGCTAAGGAAGACAGTCCTCTCCAGGACTGACTTGTCCCAGGGGAAAAACTTTATGTGGGAAGTACTTATGTAGTGCTTCAGTGTACAAAACAGGGCACATGTGTTGGTTTTGCTGTAGGCTACTGCTGCCAAACAGGACTGGTGGGATGCCCCTGGTCCCCCGTCCTGTTCTTGTCCCTGGTTTGACCTTCGCTTTCCCTCAGGCTGAGAAAGAAACCCAAAGCAACAAGAAGGTACCCTCTCACCTTGCCACACTGCCGGCATTTCCCTTCCTGCCGCCTCCGGTGTACCCAGTGATGCCGGACAACAATGGGCTAAAGGGGAAAGAAAGAGAGGAAAAATAATGGAATGAAAGGTCCAACACGTGAGGGAATGTGGGAACAGGCAGGAGGAACAGAACCAGGCCAACCAGGAGCTCTACTCTTGCAGCAAGCCCACTGCTCACAGGCAACAGCACCAGCCCTCTGGGAGAAGAATGAGGGAGCAAGAGGCCAAATTAAGGCGCTCAAAGAAGGAATTAAAGCCAGAAAAAACAAGAGGGGGAGGAAACTGAAGACTGAGAATCCCACAAAACAAACCCAGTGGAGAGTGAGCACACTGGAAAGGGAGGCAGGTATAGGCAGCATCCAAGGCATATCTCACCTCCCTTACATTCCGAGATCCTGACTCCCTGAAGGAAGGTTTGCAGCGAAAATTTATCTGTAGATTGAACACACATAAGAGGTATCAGTAAGACCATCAGACCCAAAGGAAACCTACTGGAGTTTACCAGAGCAAGCCCGGAGCCTCTGGAGATACTTGGTGCTTGCTGTGAAACCCTTCACATCTCTCTGTTACTGAGCAAAACAGGGCTTGAGGCCCCAAATCTAGTGATGATGCTCCTTTTGATACTGTATTTCATTAACCAAGAGGAGAGGCTGCCCAAGGAAAGGCTGTTACAGCTTTGTAAGCCAGAGAGGGCTTAACAGGCTTTACTCACTTTCTCCAGCTGCTCAATGCAGGGTGTATGCACTACAATCTTGCAGGCTGCACACTTACGCCTGGAGAGAGGTTTTTGCTGGAGGAGGAGAAAAGAGGAGGAAAAACATGCATGTGAATAGCAGTGTTCAGAGGCCAGCAAGCTCAGCCTCCCATCACACCTCCTTTGTATATCTCAGGATGCAGAACAAGTCCTGCAGTAGACACAAACTAGACTTCTTGCAACTGAAGGGATCTAAGCATATGCACAGAGCAGATGCTCTCAGCTCTGGGGCAGAGCAGGGAGCTGGTCTCCTGCTGTCTTGTTCTGCAGTCCTTGGCCTCTTCTGACACTGCCAGAGAGCACCATGGAAGCTGGTCTGGGAGGCACCTGCAGAGCTCCCACAGTAAGGCACAGGATGGCATCAGGGCTCTGTATCCCATACCACAAGCAGGACTGAGCCTGCAAGCTGGGAGGGAGGACTGCAACAACCCCGTAAGATCAGTGCTGCCTGCAGGGTCAGGAGGCAGCAGGCCTGGGGCTCCAGTGCTCAGTCTTCTCCTCTATTGAAAGGTTTTGGATTCAGATTGTCCGTTTAAGGGTATGGGATCCCAACAGCCTCTCCCTGGAATATTATCATACCACCTCTGGGTGAGTGGCAGCCCTGTGGTGGGTTCTCATTGCAAACTGAGCATCAGCACTGGCAGAAATAGAGGTCAAAGCCCTCCAGCACACGAGGGCAGGAGGGACACATTCCTCACCTTGGAGCCCCCAATATGTTCCCCAGCAGAGGCCGTCATGGCCTCTCTGCCTGGCAGCAGCAGAACCCACATCTGGGGTCCTTGCCAGGGAGGTGTGCGGCCACTCACCAGCAGCTTTGCCATACAGTTCTGCTCCCCAACATAGCAAAAGTCCCCAGAGACATTGGTCTCAAACCAGATGTGCTCCCCATAGACTGCAGTCTCCTGAAAGGCACAAGACAACATGTTTATTTGAGAGCACCCCCAGATGCACATCCAAACCCCTAAAATGCTTTGTGTGAAGGACAAGACACTGGACAATGCTGGGAGGTGGGAGGCTGGAGCTTGGTGTAGACCAGGAGACAAGATATACAGAACAACCAAGGCCAACATCTGGATAAAGGAAACCTCATGAAGCTGCTGCTGTGTCCCACTTGCTGTAAACAAGGACCCAAGAAAACCAGCTCCAAAACCCAGTGTCCTGCACAGGGGGGCTGCTTCCATCACCCCTGAGAGGAGGCACTGGGGTGAATGCCATGCAGGGGACTCCTGAAACAACTTCTGTTCTATGACCTGAGAGTGTAGCTTAAAGTCTGCTGGACTTTGAAGGTGAAGGAGCAGGGGCTTGCTCCTGTTGCTTGTCCCCAACCACCACAATACCTCGGCTGCCAGGAGCAGAAGAGCTCTCAGTGGAGTAGCTTTGCCACCCTCCCAGGAACTACATGTGCCTGCACAGCCTCTCTGCAGCACTGCAGGATGCTGCCAGCAGCACAGATGCTGGCACAAGCTGGTGGCAATGGCAGAGGCCATAAATGTGTCAAAGCCAAAGTCACCTGGGAACCCTCATCCTGGGAAGAGCCTGCTGCTTCTTGGCTGGGAGCCTATTCCATGCAATGCCAAGCAAAATACACTACAACTTACGCTCCAGTCCACAGTGCTGCGTATCTGCCTCTCCGAGTCACTCCTCAGGGCTAGGGCAGGGTTGGGCTGGGCTACCATGTGCTGGAGGCTGGACTTGGCAATAGCTTTCCTGGAAGACACAGGAGGGCTGGCTATTAGATCAGGGGAGGAGAAACACGTGCAAAGCACAACCTGCTTCTAGGATGCAGCAGAAAAGCATCCTCAGGACCAAGCGTCTGGAAATGAACTTCCAGCACCGCTGGCTGAGGAGCACCCGCTCCTGTGGGATGAAGAGGTGCTGTCTGTGTTGCTGATAGCTCAGCACCTCGCACCCAGCAAGAGGCGCAGTCTAGGCCAGCTCAGTCAAAGCCTTCAGGGGTGACAGGTCCATTGCAAAACAGCCTGGGATGCTCCACCAAGCTGTGATGGGGACAACCCACAGCCCTTGCCCTGGAAGGCTCCCCGCAGCTCTCCCATTCCAATACATTCCAGAGCCTGGGCCATTTTCAGGGACAAGCACAACCAGACAGATAAAAAGCAGTGGTTCGGGGCTAGCGAGCTGCTCCCATGTGTGCAGGTCCGCATCTCCAGCCCACAGCCAGGCCTGCCACCTCCTTCTCTCCCCAGGCTGGCAGAAGAGGGCACCCTGCAGCCCTGGGGTTGCACTGAGAGCATCAGAGGCAGCGCTGGCCTAAGCGGGAGATGCTCAGGGGATGCGAGCAGCACCGCAAAGCCACCAATGGCAGTCAGGGCCAGCAGAACAGACCCCGCTCCCTCCTTTCCCACCAAGCCTGGGTACACCCGGCTGGCCCCTCCCGCGGCATCGCCATACATACAGCAGCCGGGGGCTCCAGCTATCCAAGGCAGCACGGCACGGAGGCTCCAGTCCCAAGCACTCAGAGGAGCACCCGGCTCCATCTGCCCCCATGCAGCGCTGGGCCAGCGGCCGCGGGTGCCCCGAGGGCAGCAGCCCGGGCCGGGCAGCATCGCTGGAGCGGCGGCGCTGGCTGAGGCGGCGGTAGCGGCCCGGCAAGCCGTGAGCAGCGCGGCCGTGGCTGACCTCGGCGGGCAGGCGGTGCGAGGACGCGCGCCGCAGGCAGCGGGGACCCCGCGACAGCAGCGCAGCCTGCAGCGGCCGCAGCCGGGGCAGCATGGCCAGCCAGCTCTCCTCGGCGCACCGCTCGGCATCATCTTCCAGAGACTCGGATGTGTCAGCGCAGGGCATCCCTTCCCCTCCAGTGGGGATGAGGCTGGCCAGCAGGACGGAGGGACCCATCAGATGGGCATCGACGGCTCGCGCACAGCCGCCGTGCTTGGTCTGCACGGCAAAGCGCGGGCTGAGGCAGGGCGGCGTGGTGCTGGAGCGACGACGGCGGCTGCGGGGCTGGCCCAGGCAGGACAGGGCCGGCAGTGGGGCTCCGGAGCCGCGGCGGCGCTGGGCCAGCGAGGATGAGGGCAGCCCGGCTTGGGAACGCCGCCGGGCTTTGCCCGTGGGCACGGCCACCGCGCTGGCACGGCGCAGCCCCTTCCCACCGAAGTGCCGCCTGAAAAAGGTCTCCATCGCACCCGCACTTGGCTGTTGACACAGAGACCGGGAATTAAATAGGCTCCTATGGGAGTCCGCAGGCGGGGGGATGGATGGAGACAGAAGGCAGGAGTGGGGGACATGGCTGGGACCCTCTGCATCCCTTGCTGTGGGATGAGGAGATCTGCATCCCAAGGCACAGAGGCAGCCCTGGCATCACTCCTGGTGCTGGTCCACCTGGTTTTCCAATGGGAACCGCTCTGGCTAAACACCAGACCCATCAAATTTGCAGCAAATTGAAACTAAGCTCTTGTGAATCCCAGTGAAGAAAACCAAAAGAGCAGGAAAGTAAAGTAAAAGCAGGACAGGCAGACTTGGTAGGAGTTAGCTGGGACAGATGGAGTAGCGTGGTGGAAAATCACCCCATGTGTCCTGTGCAAAACTTCCCCCTCCTGATGAAAGAGCTTTACTGGGGCTCTCGAGCTTCCCCTGCCCAGCCCTCAAAGCTTGACAGGCAGCCTGGACATTGCAGCAGCCCATGGAAAGCCCCGGGCCACAAAGTGGATGGTGCTGTAGCAGTTTCAGCACTGGCAGCTCAGCATGCAAAACTGGACTGGAAGAGGCTGAATCTGGCTTGCTCCAGTGCTTCAATTCCCACCCTCCAGCCACCACCTCTCTACAGCCACTAAACAGAGAGGATTTACTCAAAAAACACCCCACCAAGACCCACAGTTTGGTAGAAGCAAACTTCTGGCTCTTCAGTTGCTCCCAAGGCAAGGAACTGGCTCATGGCAGCCTGCAGGCACACACAAGCCACCACCATCACTCTCAACAATGGCTTCTCTACCCATCATGAGGGTACAGGCATGCTGCTCATCATCACACTAAGATTGTTATCTCTTCCACTTGCTTCTACCTTCCTCATGCTCTTACACACATTTGCTTGCAGCAATACCAGAGGACCTTCAGAATAACACCCTGACCCAAACCTCCACTGCCCTGGGGACCACACAAACAGAAAAATTTGGCAAAGCTTCCCTTTTCCTTTGGGAACTGCATGTAAGATGGGACATGTGTTATTTTCTGGACGACCATTTGGAGCTTTCACTTAGTGATTGTAGGACAAACAACCCACTGGGCTTTTTAGATGACTTTTAGATGACTTTTTTAGATGACTTTTAGATGACTTTTTAAAATGACTTTTAGATGACTTTTTAAAATGACTTTTAGATGACTTTTAGAGTCATCTTTTAGATGACTACAAAGCTGAGCTTGTTTTTTTGGAAAAGGCCAGGCTTGGTTTGCTCTCCTCCAGCCTGGTAGGCAAGGAAGCCAGCTCTTTAGTTTCTATAGTCTCATTGCCAAGCCTGTACTCAGTAACATAGGCCAAGGAGGGAAGGAAGGACAGCAATGCCCTCCAGAGCAGCTAAAACCTGCTTGAACTGAACGCAAAACCGAAGTGCCACCTTGTCAGAGGGGTTTCTCCAGTCTCAGCACAGCAGCACTGCAGGTCCTTGGTCACCAGCAGGTTATCTATCACCCCACTGAGGCCCATGCAGCTTTGCAGAGGACACATTTTGCTGTTCACTCTGCTTCCAGCCTATCCCCGACACTGCAGCGCTCCATTCCTGCCCCTTCTCCCCATTACCTGCAGGTGATGCCCAGTAAATTGCATCATCACCAAAAGGTGTTTGAAATTGTCAGAACAAATAAAATACGTTAAAAACCCAAGAGAGAACACTGCCTGGGTATGGCACACTGCAGCAGACCCTTTCTGGCCAGCTCTAGCTGCCGGGGGAGATGTACCGTCCGACTACATCCCAAATGAGCTGAACAGATGCTCCCTCCTGCCCCACATATTCCACTAGCATGAAGCTGCTTGCTGAGCTGCTGCCATGGCAGGAAGATCTCTCAACACAGCTTCCTTCCTTTTTGCACCACAGTCTTGTGAAGAAATCTGCTAGAACAGCTTGACATTTATGTTTTGAGTACTTGCTGATCAAGGCCCTTTTTATCTTCAGGGCTGTCTGCAAGTGACACATGGGCTCACACTCTGGCCACCAGTCTTTAAGGTTATTATGAGGCAACCCATCTGACAGCAGCACATGACAGCTCAGATATGATGGGTGAAGATATCCTAATCTCTCACAATTTACTTCCAATCTGAGCTCCAAAGGGTGCACTGCAGGTGCTGAGAGCTGCTGCTGGTGGAGCAGATGGACAGACTGCTGGGGGTGCCCAGGGTTGATTTGTATCAGCAGAGCTGCATGCAAAACAGCCAGGGAACCAGGTACTGGTGGAGAGGAGCCTGAGAGGAGATAATCCCTGGAAGCCCCTAGCCTAATGCCAGCACATCTCTGGGATCCCCACTGTTTGTCACTGAGATAAGATGGAGAAGAGCCATCATCCATGGCTGCTCTTCAGATGGCATCACTCAGCTTAGTTGGGTAAGGAGGCTGGATGGAGGCAGCCTGGCATCTGGAGGGTGGCAGGGAAAGGAAGTACTGCTGCATGCACGAGGATATCAGCTCTACTTACAAGCAGCTATGCACTATCATTTCAATCTCCTGTGAATGAGGAGTAGCTCTGGTCTGCTCGTGATCTGCAATCAGAGCTCTTGGGAGGTGATTTATCTCTCACCAGACCCCTCAAGATCCTCAGTCTCCCTGCCTCACATCAATGGACAGAAGCTGCTGAAGCAGGAACATGCTCCAGACCATAGGCAGGCAGCAATGCTGTGCTCAAGAGCTGGAGGAGGAAGGGGCTGCTGCGGGAAGCTCCCTGAGCACTCAGAGCAAGCTGCTACCTCTTACTCTGAGGGCAGAGCTAACCTCGGTGGCAGGAGGTAAATGCTCCTGGAAAGACAAGCAGGGATCGAAGAGGAAAAACTTGCATCGTGTAACTTCAGTGCACACAGCTCATGGACTGACTGATGTGGAGACCCTGCCATCCAGACAAATAGCAGCATCCCTCCTGCAGTGTTGGGAGCTCCAAAACCAGACAGGGTGACTCCTAGGGCTAAACATACATTGTCCCTCAAGGCACAGGCTCTGCCCATGTCAGGAGGAGCTTCTTGACATTCAGCTCCATTATTGTGCTTTGCTTCCCTAGTCTCAAACAAACTCCCTTTACCAGACTGAATAGGCCCTATGTGCCCTTAAGACATGTAGAGGGATGCTGCCTGTGCCATATGCCTGCTCAGCCCTTCCTCTATGTTATTATTCCCTCTGCCCCTCCAGCAGCCTGATTTATTCCTGCCAGACCCCAGAAGAAGAGAGATCCCAGGTTACTTTCAGTGCCAAATCTAGCACCCTCTCTCCTGGCACCAGGGATGGCAAGAGGATGCTAGTAGAGGACACCCCCAGCAGCACAACACGCAAGCTTGAGCCCTACGTAAGTCAACCTGAGAAACACATTCAGCTTCTCCTGACCTTTCAGCAAACCTCCCGTTAGTCGACTGGAAAGCATTTTTCCAACCACATGGCTACAGCAAGGGGAACAAGTCCAAGAGTTTTGCCTTGCTCCATGACGAGCGCTCATCCTGATGGCACCTGGCTGCGTTCCTGCATCCTGGCTTGCTGCAGGCAATGGGGAGATGCTGTGGCACTGGAGCTGGCAGCACGCAAGCAGAAGCCCGTTTCAGTTTACACACTGTCTTCCCCTGGCAAGGACGCTTGGCTTCCACAGCTCGATCTCAGGGAAAGTGCAAGTGTTATTAATAGCCACCCCTCCGTGACACAAAGATCTCCTGGGCTTCTGCTGTCTGTCTCCTCCCTGCCAGGACACCAGAGGGACCGAGGGACAAGGGCCCGGGCACCCATCCAGGGAGCTGCGCCTCATCCCCTCCTTGCTGACACACCACCACTTGCCTTCAGTGCTGGATTCCATCACAAGCTCACAGCCCCCTTCCTGCTCCTTTCAGTGCTCTGATACTCAAGCTTCTCATGTACATTGCTATGCCCACACCATCCCTGCTGAAATCCTGTATCCGCTCCCCCATCCCGCTCCCAGGCATCAGTCACCGACCAATTCCTCTCCCTCAGGCTCCTCAGCCAGCCCTCTCTGATGCACCACAAAAGCAACCAGCACAGAGGAGGTGCTGAGGAAGTCCCCATGCCAGATGGGGAAGGGAGCACGCTGGGCAAGATGTGCTGCAGCCCTCAGGGCTTTGGTTGCAGTGAGGTGAGCAGTGATCAGCAAGTTTCCAAGCTGCGCAGTTTGTTTCTACCCAAAGTTTCCATTCCAGCTGTAATCTCTCCTACATTACACAAATAAAAGAGACTCAGGAGCTCCCCTGTGCTGGGTCCAGCATGAACAAGGACATGCAGCTGCCCCCAGCATACAGGTAGAGAGGCCGTGACCAAACCACCTTTCAAAGCATTGCAAGGGGTGATCTACAGACTGTGCTCACCCTCTATTTTAGAATTCATTCGATCTATTGCAACAAGTGCCACCTCCTACACGTGCCACAGCACCTCATTCCCAAGCTCCCAAGCTGCAAGAGCATGCCATTCCCAGGGCAAACCGTGGCCAAGGGCATCCTCAGTTGTGCTGTCACCCTCATACCACAGAGCAGACTTCTGCTGCAACTTTAAGGCTGCAGAAGGCAGTTTCTGGTCCTTGCAGGGCACTCAGAGGGAAACAGATCCTCACCTATCTCAGTGAGCCCTGGGGTTGAACCAGAGCACTTCAGACTTCCCTCCTAGTGAGAAAGCAAGGCAAAGGCTTCAAAACTGCCTGGCGGGCACACACAAGCAGCTATAGAGGACGTCCTCTCAGCCCTGTGGCTTCCGCACATACAGCCCCAGCATCCCCCTCTGCAGAGAGCTGTGTAGAGGCCCCTGACAGGGCCACTGGGCATGGACAATGAGAGCAAAGCACCCCTGGCAACATCAAAGGGCTCTGCTAACTTGCTCAGAAGCCTGTCAGTGCGACTGGGCACTTTGGTTGACCAACCTGGAGGTTCCCGGACTGCATTGCCTCACAAGGGACCTCCAGGTACATCAGTCTGGACTCTATGCACATCTTGCACAGGGCAGAAGAGCACAACTCGCAACCTCCTGCTCCCACACATACACACCATGGCATGGCGATGCAAATACCCTGACACATCCCAGGCAGGAAACGGTAATGGAATACCCACACAAGATGCCCAGAAGCAAAACTCACCCCTGGGGTTTATTTCAGGGGACAGGAATTTCAGGGCACACCCCAGCTGGCAGTGATAGCTCAGCATCACCACTTCAGCATCACTTGGGACTGCTGGTACCCAGGGCAAGTCACCACACAGCCCACACCAGGGATGGGACACAGCCAC